TCTGAGAGAATGTGGGGATGGAGAAGAGTGCTGAGGATCCCATGGACACCAAAAGGACAAAAAAAAAATGGGTCCTAGAGCAGATCAAGCCAGAAACTTCCCTGGAAAAAGCCAAGATGACCAAACTGAGGCTGTCGTACTTCGGACACATCATGAGAAGGGAGGACTCTTTGGAAAAGACAATAATGCTGGGGAAGGTGGACGGAAGGTGGAGGGAAGGTGGAAGAGAGGAAGGCCATATGCCAGATGAATGGACTCTATTAAGGAGGTCACCAGTATTAAGGGGCTGAAGGATTCAAGCAGAGCAGTGGAGGACATAGGGTCTTCTTGGAGATGTCTCATCCATAGATTTGCCATAAGTCAAGATCAACTGGAGGGCAGTTCAAAAAGTATAATATGAATTACAGTTCAAAAACATGTGGAATGGCACAAGTTGCTGACATAGGGCCTAAAATCTTGACCCAAAATTGTCTATTATTGCATGCGTTCTTTTGTTAAAATATCAACATGTGTCTCCCATGTTGGCCATTTCCCCAAGATATGTTAAGAGCACATTTCCATTGTTTCATTGCTCATCTTCTTCATGCTATTCTCCTTGTCCTTGTGCTTCACAGGGCTGAGGCTAAATTTGCCCATCGTGATCCTTACCCTAAGTGAATTTTTGCAGTTTCAACAGCTAGTCAGATGTAGTAGCAGCTCAAGTTGTTGTGTGCCTTCAGTTTGTTTCCAGCTTATGGTGACCCTAAGGTGACACTATCATGGGGTTTTCTGGGGCTGAGAGTGTGTGATTCACCCAAGGTCATCCAATGGGTTCCCATAGCCAAGCATGGAATTGAACTCTGGTCTCTGGAGTCATAGTCCAACGCTAAAACCACTACACTACGCTGGCTTTCAGCTAATGACTGTGAAAGCAAAATAAATACAACTGTGGAATTCCATGTCTCAAGGCCATGCTGGCTGAGGGATTCTGGGAGCTGTAGTCCAAAAAAACAACTTTTCCAAGCTCCAGTGAAGGCAAAGCATAGGAAAATTGTACTGAGAAGTAGCAGCCTCCAGAGAAACAAAGGAATTCTAAAGAACATAGAAACCACACAAATGTCTACAGAGACAAGTAATCTGTTCAGTTATGCCAAATATTCTACTGTCAAAGTAATATTAGAGAACATTCCGTACAGCTTCTCTTTGTCTGTACATTTCTTCTTTGTTTACAAATTAAACACCCAGTATAGAGAATGCCAGGATAACTACTTGGCAATGCCTAGTTTGTAACTGTTGGGCACTGCAATGTTTTTGGCAATGACAGAAACAGTGTTTCATATTGTTAACAGCTGATACATGATTTTAGGCCTGAGAAATTGCTAGGGTGGCCATGTGTTCCACTTTATTTGAAAGCATCCCTACCCACCAACAATTCACAGGTAAAAATAGGGACACTTCCCTGACTTTGGGCCTCGGCAAACGGCTAATAGAGCCGTCTCCAAGGCAGGGAAGAGGAGGGGCAGCCGCATGCTCGGCGCCCCTTCCTCCTCCCGAGGTTGCCCTCGGAGCAGCCGGCCCTCCGCATGGCCGGCGCTCCGAGGGCAACCTCCCGCCACAGCGTCCGCACACGCTGTGGCGGATAAGTCAGTGAAAGTGCGCCCTACGCTTTTGGGGTGCACTTTCACTGACTTCTGAAAGGAGCACTGATTTAGCACTCCTTTCAGGGGCGCCGACGGTGTGCCGCGGTGCGGATGCCTCGGTCCCGAGGCGCACCGTCCCGCGGCATCCCAGAGGCCCTCGTCTGCTTCCCCCCTTTGTTAAACATGTGGCTGAGCAACATGAAAGCGTTATTAATGAAGAAGGACACATAAAAATGTAGGTGTGTATTCTCTATCCGTTAATTATTATACTTAAGTAGCCTCTCCTGATCTCACTTCCCCAAATCTGACGAACAGAAACATCATTCACTCATGCTCCACATCACTGGCAAAAAGGACCTCATTCTCCCATGCAGATGATACTTGTTAAAGTGGGTTGGTGGGAGGAAGAATTGTGATAACAGTGTCAAAGTCATGATTAAACAGCAAATGGGAATATGAAACAGAATTCAGAGACATAGCTGTGTTAGTCTGGGCTATCAGAATGCAAAGTGAGCTTGTAGCACCTTTGAGACTAACTGAGTGAAAGATGTTGTAGCATAAGGTTTTGTAGATTATTGTCCTTTGCAGATGGCGCTTTGCCCCGTCTTGGAGGCAAGGAAGGGGAGGGGCAGCTGGACGCTGGGCGCCCCATCCCCTTCCTGAGGACGTCATCGGAGCGTCTGCCCTTCCACATGACGGGCGCTCTGATGACGTCCTTCCGGCTCAGTGTCTGGACACACTGAGCCTGAAGAGACACCGAAGAGCCTCATAGCGGCTCTTGCGGCGCCCCTTTTATGGCTTGCGGAAAGAGCGCTATTTTAGCGCTCCTTTCCCAAGCAGCGAAAGGGAGGATTGGGGCCAAGGCATGGGGCAGCCTCAGCCCTGATCCGCCACTTCCCAGGGCAGCCCATGGTTGCCCATCTGCATCTCCCATTGGTCTACTTCTTCAGGTGCATAGAGTGAACTAGTGCTCAGAAAGGGCCTTTATAATCAGACTATATGAATAGCCATAGAAATGCAAAACTTCAAAAATTCTTTCCACCATTCATATGGTCATCCACTCACCTTGGTCTTAGGCAGCACCTTTCCTCCTGCATTTGTTCCTCAATGAGCATACAATGGGCCCTCCACATTTGCTGGGGTTAAGAGCACAGGTCCCCAGTGAAAGTAGGAAAACCATAACTCTAGGTCTTCCAGCGCAACTCTATGGTCAATATCTACCAGAAGTTGGCCATGGAATTAAACTGGAGTGTTTTCTCTTGTAATTACTAAGTCCTCCAGCACAACTCTATGGTAAATTTCCAATAGAGTTGCACAACATCTTAGATAAAACATATTGTAGTGAAAACTGAATTTGTCATCTCGTCACCATACCCACAAGTGTTGCATTTCTATGACTATTCATAAAGTCTGATTATATGAGTCCTTCCTGGGCAACACTTCACTCCATGCATCTGAGGACCAGACCAAGTTCAAGAAAGCTTATGTTACAAATTCTTTTGCACAGTTTGTCTGAAAAATGCTACACGATCCCTGTGCATACTGAATATGAAACAGTTACAGATGGGGATGTCTAATGGGTATGTCTAAGTAACTATTTCATATTCACAATTTCTACTTAGTCACAGTGTTACTCACATACACCATTTCCAGTATTCTAACAGTATTGTAGCATAGCATCATTTCCAGGTATGATTATATCTGGTTTCAATCCAATATGCTTGTTTTTCCTAATTTATTCTATCCCCATATTTATTCTATTTCCTACTTTATTCTGTCTTTGAAAGCTCTTCTTTGTCCCCTCCCCATGAGTAGTGGGAACCAAATAAAGTAGGAAAAACAAGCATATTGGGTTGAAACCAGATTTAGTCATACCCAGAAATTATGCCATGCAGCTGAAGGTGGGGGAGAGTTACTGAAGCACTGACATTGCTGAACATTGAAGTCAGTGGAATCTGAGTTAGGGGGGTTGCAGACTGCCAGAAATAGTGCAAATTGAGACCACTTTTAGGGTTAGGGTTAGTGCTAGGGAACCATGGGAATTATTTTTTTCCTGAGACAATAAGCCTTCTCTGTCAGAGAGCTCTGGTGCTACAATAAAATACAGTCCCCATGATTCCCTAACCCTAACCCTAACCCTAAAAGTGGACTCAATTTGCACTATTTCTAGCAGTCTGCAATCCCCGTTAGTCTTCAGCAAGCCCACTGAATAAGTATGATTAAGTGTGCATCTACACTGTAGAAATAATGCAGTTTGACACCACTCTTAAGTATTGTAGCTCCATCCTATAGAATCTCAGGATCTGTAGGTTTATAAGGTCTTTAACCTTCTCTGCCAAGAGTGCTAGTGCCTCCTAAAACAACAAATCCCAGTATTTTGTAGGATGGAGCCATGACAGTTAAAGTAGTGCCAAACTGTATTACTGTGTAGATGCACTCTCTGTCTGAATCCAAGTGATTTCCATCTAGCTGCACACTTGGGAAGAATTAACCAAGGTGCCGTCCATCATGCTCCAACTTTAACATCCACCGCTGGTTGCCAACCCAGTGGGATGAACCAGAGGGAGATGAGATGAGAAGAAGACCAACAGGCATAAGGAAAACAACAGCACATATAGTTCTTCCACAGGACTCTTGGACTATGCTGTTTCCTCCATGCCTTTTGGTGCCTTTTGGTGCCTTTTGGTGTCACATCTTTAGTTGTAAACTTGTGCACGAGAATTCTTTTGCTTTTACTAGTTTGATCTAAGCTACTCTAGGAGGCTTTTTGTCTGAAAGGTGGGATTTAAAAGGCTATAATGCACAGTATAAGTGCAATCTGTATTGCATTTCTTCCAATGCACTGCTAGGTTCTTTCCAGGAGCAGGGAAAGTTAAACATGGAGCCAATTTCCAGCTCTCCACCTCCTCTCCATGGGGGAATTCTTTTTCATTTTTATCAGGAGGGACCTGAATTGGAAATTTCATTCTGGGCTGTGGGAATGACTGGGGACTGAGAGGTCTTTGGATCCAGTAGATTCAAGACCTCTTTTCCTTCCTTTCCAACCACCACACCTCCAACACATCCATTGGTCCCCTAATGTATACACAGCGAGAAACTGTGTAGAAAAAAAATGTGCATAGTAGGGGAAACAGACTCCAAAATGGGAGATATTAGAGAAAATGTTTGCAAAATGAATATAGTAAGGAACACAGCATGAAAAATGAACATGACTATTTTTTTTTTTTTATTTTTTTGGCAGACCTTCCAAAACAAACACAAGCTGTTATTGAAATGGGACAGAATGTATTTATGCTTGATGAAATACAAATATTACACAAAATAACAGCATTGTCCATTCTTTGGTATCCAGATCAAGGGGCATAATAATAGCACATTATTCTGCTTCAGGAATGGAATGGACAGCCTCTGAAAATGGTGGATTTTCTTTCACTGGAGGCTTTAAACTTAAAGAGACATTGGATAGCCTCTGTCAGCCATGGTTTATCTGGGAATTCCTGGATTGGCAGGGGGTTGGATTAGATGACCTTTGGGGCTCCTTCCAGCTCTATTGTTCTATAATCCCATTAGCATGAAACAAAAGCCTTTTTTCTTCTTCATCTGTGCAAATCTGGCCATGCTTGCTTGGGGATACTGGGAGTTATAGTCCAAAGTTCAGCCACGTTTGGAACAAGCCTGAGGTTCTACGTTTGCCTCAATCTGTGAAATTTTTCCATCTTTCCTTGAAGACCCCTGACTGAAGCTGGCAAACCCTGGCCCCTAATAGTGTCATAAACCACAAAGCCTTTGTGAAAAGCACATACTGTATTTATACTACAGGCCATGTATACAAGGGATTAAAATAAACCATTTATTCGTTCCTCTTGGACAAATCACATTATCCAGAAACTCCAAGAAGCAAAGCTTTCTGTTGTCAAAATAAACACTGGCCAGCTTTTTCCCCCTTTCAAGAGCCCACGCAATATGAAATAAATGGCTCCGGCCTACCAAGAGCACAGCACGTACGGAGGAAAGTTCGCGGTAATAATCCATTGTGGGGTCCAAGACAAATGGAAGCACTTTGCAGATTGGATTCTTTTCATTATGGGTGCCTCTCTTGTTGTTTACGGTTCTTCCATGACCTAATCCGCATGCAACCCCCCTCCACTCCTGATGCTGCCATGGCTAATGATTTTGAATGCCTCAATGCCACATCCTTCTGAGAAACCCAGTTGCCAATTCTTCTCTTCTTCATTACAGAAAATGAGAAGTCTTCCAGAGGAAGGTGCCAA